ATTCAGGTGCAAATGCATTTGAGTGAGATTGTGACCTAAAATATATATTAAAGCTGGTTAAAAATTATTTGCTGGAAAACACTTTCAATCATTTATGTCCTCCTCCACAGTCGTCTGATGTCAATGTAAAAGAGCATCTATGCGAAATGTTAGTTACTAAATTCAGAGAAATAAATCTGAATAAATCCCATACTTTCAAACTGTATACTCACTTTTGACTCTCTCTGTACATACGCGTTAATGCGCGACGAGGGAAAATGTAGGGGTTCGGTCGACTGAGGAAGGTTCATGTGATCGCGGAAACGGGAAACAAGCGAATACATCGATGCCACGATATACGACGCGACTGATACGCATGAGAGACACGTTCCTCGAGGTTCCATCGCTTTGTACGAGCACGGTATAACAGTTGATGATTCTTTGAGAACAGGTGGATCGGGAATGAATATTTATTCGTGTGGAGCATCGTTTTGAAGGAAATGGAAATATGTACTATATGGCAGGAATGTTTAATTAATTTAATTGAAACTAGCTGTTCGTGAAGCATAATGGAGAACGGCAATTTTGTTTTAACACTACTACTGCCAAACCCGTCATAATTATGAATTGCAGAGTTCTTATTTTACAATTACTAAAATTATAATAGTGCTTTTGGTTGACTATTTACTGTACATTTTATATTATACTGTATTATGCATTCAATTAATTTGGAATACATTCAACGCTGGTAGTTTTAGTGTTAATTGTTTTGTTAATTTACGGAGACCAGCATGTACAACATTAAGGATAACATATTTATTATATTTATTTCAATTATTGCACTTATCAAAAGCTAAACGGGAGAAAATGAGTATTGTACTATCACAATTGTAGAGGTAGGATAAACTGTAAATGGAGGTGGATTATCAAGAATAACGAGCAGCTTTTTCTTTTCCTTGTTGGAGCTTTTTTCCAAGACGGGACAAACTGGATAACTCTGTAACGATGGTAGCAGTTAAGCGGGGAGAATAACGGAGGAATAAATGTGTTGTTGTAAGCTCGCGATTAACTTATAATTTGCCATTGCTTTAGAGTAAATTAATAACATGAACCTAGATAAAAGATAATTGATGCATTATGATCTAATGTCGATTAGATATGCTATCTGAGTTGGATCGCAACAACTGAATATAAATTATAACAATGCTGACTGTTCAAGTAAGAAGATTTCAACTGTACATTTAAAAAATGACAGCATACGAAGTAAAAATGTCTTCATAACTGTAAATATATTACTGATAATTTTACACTGAACACGATCAAAACGACACCGATATGACTGAAATTCGAAACTGGATCAATGCCGAACTTTGTTCGCAAAATGCTTGCACGAGTGCCGAACAGTTCGCAAAGGGCTCTGTAACGGTAGCACAAAGGCTTTCTGTACGTCCGTAAGCATTCGACAATCGAAACGTTCCACAATAACGGTCTACAACATCGGCCAGTGGAAAATTCACGATGGCGCGTGTAAGATCGCGCGTAACAGCGGTATGTACCTCCGAAACACGATTTAACGCGGGCTAATTAATCACGTCGAAATTCGGGATTCAAAACTTCTCTGCTGTTGCCTTGCTCACGGACTGTAAATTAATTTCTCTCGCGCGAGAAAACGATAGCAGTGTTCGACAAAAACCATTAACAGTTCTTTTTTTTATCGAAATTTCCGAAGCCTCTCCATGGTTTTGTTCAAGTCTCATAGTTTTTCCACGATCGCCCGATAATTGCGTAACAGCCGGCCGCCTCGATGCTTTCGTATCAGTTGCTTCCGGTGTTACGTAACCACCGGATAACTACGTTCGCAGAGACAATTACAAGCCGACAACGTCCTCGCCGCAATGATACTCACCCATGCGCCCAGTTTCCACGAAACAACGCAACTATTTACCGTGAGGGCGCGTATTTGTCCCGCATTATGCCGTGTCATGGAAAATTCCAAATATTGTGCAACCCTTCTAACTCTTCAGCGGGACCAACACAGTGACGCCCGGAAAAAGTGCGAGTTTTTTCTGTGAATTATCCGGGAGATATTTTGAAAACATTTGAAATTTTAAAAAAATTCTTGAAATCCATCGTACTGTTTCTCCTGGTAGATATATGTAGTCCCTTAACACGTTGACTGCCACAGTGGAAAAAGCCTTACATAACCAGACACACTTTATTTCGTTTTTAAAGTTATACATCGTTCAAAATGTATGCGTTTAATTAACAGAGGCTGTTGCTCTTGTTTTAAATTATACTGCGATATTAATTTCACGCAAAAATTGTATAACGGTATTTAAATAACCCAGTCTCTTTGCAATGTACGTGTCACCCATATTTGAGTGACGTGGCAGTCAAAGTGTTAAAGCTTCTTTATTATTTTCTGAAGTGACGTTTATGGTGGGACAAAAGCTGCTATAACTTTGTTATGTTCACGAATTTCTACTTAATACTTTAGGAGAATATTCTCAAAGGTTCATACTTTGAAATTATATAACAAAAAAGGTGACATTTTCGACCTGTCGCTGTGTTGTTCCTCCTTCAGCGACAGAACGCGGGCTGCAGCCGCGCGCGATCCTATGTCTTCGGTGTACGTTCCGCTCACAAACGGCCACGATATAGTTAATTCATCAACGGGGGCTTAACGGGCGCGATACGTCTGTACCAATTATGCATTCACGTCATTCATGGCCGCCCGCTTCGGTCCTCTCCTCTTATCGTTCCAGGTGTCCTGTGCCTTTGAACGCGTATTCGCTCGTCGTCGCGGCTGTTTAACGCTTGCGTTACTCAATGCACGCTCATTCTCCCGTATAGCCAGTGCCCCGCGTGACTTTGTCACCTGAAATATTTCCCTGTATTTTTCGAACGACACGAAAAGATCATCGAGTAAAGGTTTCGACAATTGGAAGGAAATACTTTGTAGCGTCGAAAATGCTGGCGTATCACGGACATTGTGTTATTATGCAGTCCATTTATGATCTTTCTCCGTGATGAAATATCATTGATGTATGATTAATACAATTTTATGCCTCTGGCGATAGACGGAGCTTGATATTTGTACGAGAAACGCTGTATAAGTGATATGGACGTTCGTAGATTGATATAGATGATGTCTGATTTATATGATCCATTGGAGGCATAGTTTGATAATTGAATGTCCGGAAATTGGTGTCGATTTTTAGGTAGATAAGTAAACTCTATACTTTGAAGCAATTATTTCGGTATTCTATAAGACATGCAACGGTTTGTTTTATAATCTTTCGCCATCTTTCCGGCAATTTGATAATTCCATTTGGCCGAAAACTGTCATATGTGTTAGCAATAAATGATGAACATTTTTTATCCTGAGGATCAGAATTCCCATCTGTCAATTTTGCAGAAACATTTGCGACCAGTTCCTTCTGATAGAGTACTTTCTCGGTAAACATTACAGACCTCATTTACTGTTTCACTGACGTTACTTGTCTTCGATGTACTAAATTTGATAAAATTGACAAAATAAAAAGCGAGTCATTTCGAACAAACGTTTAAATACCAACTATGCATCGCCATGATGTCTGCAGTGCACGAGCACATTCGGGCAAACGACGGCACGAGCAAGCGACACGGGTATAACGTCGCCGTACGATCGCATTGGGAAGAATCCGCGAGGAAGTTAGCCGACCAGAGACCGTCAAGAGCACAGTAGCGACTAATGGAGTTTCCTGGAGTTTCCAACTAAACCTATCCCATAAATTCCCCGACATAAACGTCATACCCCCCGTGCTAAAGAGTCTATTAAATTAACAGTTCATCAATCACTTAACTCCTGCGCTACCGACATTCACTTCCTGCATCGAATAAAACTCCGGAACACATCCAGAAGCGCGACGGATCGCGTCAGAAAAAACCCTTTGAAGCTTTCCAACGGCAATCCCCGCGTACCATCCAGCCTCTAGTGCATTCCATTACGTGCGCATATGGCCGGGCGACGGTTACGCGGGCCGCTTCCTCCTTGCCCCGAACACGATACACACCTGTGCCAGTCCACAATTATGCACCGGCGCCATTTATACTGCATTTATACACTCGACCCTCCCCCATCTCTCTCCATCCGCTGCCACCCCTCACTTTTCCACCATTCCGCTGTGCGCACCGTATCCGGTCGTGTTCGACCGGTGGCAACCGTGCGCGCGGGCTCGACGCGCACCTATGCACCTACACGCGTGTTACACGCCAGGTCGAATCGCGTGTGTAAACGTTGCCGCCGTTGGTGCAACGCGACTGTTACGCGTTCCAGGTACCAGCCCCTATATTCTATCTCGCTCTGTTGCGTTGTACCTCGCGCTCCTGATTAATTACAGAGCACCGTTACGCCGCAATAGTGCGGAGGGATCGGATCCCCGGCAACGGTAGGTATTATCATTTGTCGCGGCGAAATTCACCGTACGTCACACACTGACGAATTAACCGGCACTGTGCGTTAGGCGGGCTACAAGAGAATCACGGCGATTTTCTTATCGCTGGGAACCCGGTATTCACACGGTCGAGAAAGACGAATCGTTCTGGGATTCCCACCCCTCCCCCCGCTCCCAACCACCCTGGAATTTGGTACATCGAGTCGGAGTACGTTAGGTTACCAGATACTCCCGATGCGCGCACTTGCCGGAGCCACCCGGGAACGTCGAACGCGTTTAATTCTCTAATTAGAGTGAGCCCTCGTTCAAACCCCCTGGATGAAATTTAAGCCCGCGCTCGAGGCGAATGCCAGACGCGCACCGTTGCCTTCAGATTTCGGAAGCTGTGGATCGAGTTTCAGTGAGAATCGTGGAACCGTAATGTGCCAGTCGAACGGATATTTTCTTGACATGGGTACTCTGACGAGGGCTGACTTCCGGTGTAGCAATTTTGGATTAGTGAAGGGAGGAAAATGATGTATGGTTGAATTTCATTTTTCGTGTAATCGAATTCACGTATTCGAACATTATTCCGTGGATACTTACTAGGCAGTTGAGAGACGATGTAGAGGAACGTGGCCGTTGCATTGCTATTGACAACGCTCTCCACGGAATTGTATGCTTGTTCTAAACACATTCTACTTGGTATGTCAGTATCGATCTATTATGCTTGTCTGATCAATATCGAACTATTCTACTTGCCAAGTTGCTATTGATAAATTCTATTTGTCTGGGCAATGTCGACACATTCTGCTTGTCTGGATAATGTCAACTTATTCTACTTGCCCGCCCACTACCAATCGATTCTCCTTGTCTGGCCAATATCAACTTATTCTACTTGTCCGTCCACTATCAATCTATTCTACTTGTATTTGGATGAAAGTTACATGTGAATTACAAGCTTCCATGCATCAAGGTAAAGGTACTCGTGATTCCAATACATTTTCTCCACGTTTCACCAATAATCCCAATCATGGCAAGTACGACAGGTATCGATCGAATTCGATCCGGAACGCAAGGACAGTAGTACTATTCAATTAACCACGGTCCCCGACGCCACTGACGTCTGCTGGCTGGCCGGTTCTAACGCCGCGATCGGGGCCAAAGTTCCTTTCGTTAATTCGAGTCGGTTTAAACAACGCTGGCTCGCATCGGGATCGATAAGGCAAGGGTGGAGAGTACCACGATTATCCTTCCCGTTCCGCACAACTAATCCGACATAAGCGCCTACATAAATACGAATATATTTCGCGTACGCAGAATCCCGAAGTTAGCTGCAATGCAGTGTCGCCGCGATACCGCCCCCGGTTTCGGATTTTGCCGGCACGCGCCCCGTGAACCGTTAGGATCGTTTGATCAGGATCATGGTTAATTTCACCGTTGGTTATGGCGCACAATACCGTACCAATCACGCCGTGACTTCGCTGCATTGCGCAGTCCGATTGGTCCCTCCATAAAGGCACGGTATACGTACACGCGCGCGATTGTACGGTACCGTGCAACGTGTACGTGTGTACGTGCACAGGTAGGTGTGCGCGCGCGCAAACAGGCACCAACACACATGTACCCGGCACGTATGTCACCCGACCGCGTACGTGTAATCGGCAACGGCCAGATAAAGCCGTGAGGCGGATCGATCCGTGACGAAGCCATCGACTTCCAAGTGCTAGATTTCGTTTCAATCTCGACGAGTCGCGTTACGCCGTGGGAAATTCACGGCGATATCGGGAACCGGATGCGTTCCCAAATTAACGGATCATCGATCGCCTCGACCCTCTTGTGACGTTTAGGGCTGAGACGAGGTGGAACGTTTTCCGGTTGCGTTTTCTCGATGAATAATTAAGCTTGCCCTTTTTCTGGTTTGTGACCGTAGTACGAAGAGTATGTAGATCGTGGTGAATATTGCTTAATCTGAATATATCTGTAACGTTTGAGTAATTTGGAAGAGTGTGTTGTACTCTGCTCTCTGTTCGCTGTCAAAGCTCTTTCGGTCTGCCTTTTGACACTTCGCGCACGTTTTTCCCGTATATTTCCTCCTTCCACACAGAAACACACCCACATGCATCCCTTTCTCTTCCATCCTCACCAAACAATTTTCTTTCATTCCCAGATAAAAGTTACGTCACGCACGCCTAAATCGTCATTTCAAATTTACGCTTGCTACAAACATTCACTACGCATCTTTTTCCCCCACAGAATTTATTTCTTTCCTGCTGCCTCGTCAAAGGAAAAATGAATAAACCAAAGAGATTATCTATACGTAATATCACGCGCATGGAAACACTTCACCTCCTGATTTTTCATTCAAGTGACTCGCCAAAAACGACTTCCGGGCGCTCTCCCTCGACTGTCTTCCCTTTTTAAAGGCGGCAATTCTCGACACTATGTACCGTGTCGGCATCTTACTGGCTCACTTTGAACGGCGTCGATGCTCTGGCCTGATCTTCGAGTACACGGTTAGACGCATTATGCACACACCATGGAGCATGTTGGTCGAGAACTCGGTTTCAAGGTACGAACGAAGGGAAATCGACGGCATCGTCGATGAAATTAGTTGGCCGCGTCGCTGAGAGTCTTACGGCTGCCCCTCCCTCTCTTTCTCCACGCTTAACCACCATTCGATTTCCCTTCTTCTCTCGCCGATTCCGTCTGACCCTCTCTCACCCATTCCGTTCTCCTTCCTTCGCCTATACTTTCCCGCTCCCACTCGACTCGCCGTCTCTTTCTGTCGGTGGCGAATGAATATATTTCCCTCGGCAGCGTCTTCATCCGGACGAATGGAAGAATCTACCGAGACGGCAGCAATATCGGCGGAAATCGAATCGCAAAATGGAGAAAATGACTGCGAGTGCTTCGTCCCCTGTCATGAAGTGGGACGAGGCGAGAAAATCACGATGGACGTCGGAGAAGGAGGTGAAATTCCGGTAGAAGACGGAAAAGCTGAAGAGGGCGAGACAGAGAGAGAGAAAGAGAGAGTGAGAGATGGATAGGAGACAGAAGATCGAGAAAGGGTGGCGTGGAGGGAGGTGCGGAGGGGAGGAAGGAGGAATGCATTCCTGGGCGAGTTAATCCCTGGAGTCTGGAATGGCTGACAATTCCATGGATCCGTGCCTTCTGCCTTCCACTGTGCCTCCCTCGTAACCGCGTGTGTGGGTGTACGTGGTCGTACGTGTCGTCAGAGCCACCTACCCGCGAACCCATCGTCTTCATATTATCAGGTGAAATCGATTCGTAGATTCCTAATATCGTGAAATTTCAACGTAAATGGATCGTAACGCTCGTGTTTCTTAACGCTCGCCCCTCGAGAGTCTGCGAGGGACCCCGGTCCACTGACCCGATCGTTACCATAAGCTGCTTACGACCTGGCTGGGGAATCGTCAGTTATCTCGGCTAGATCCTCTTCTACCTTGCAAATCGCCGGTTATCGTCTGTTCTGCCTTTTTGTTCGACATGGGAACAATTCGGAAGTGAAGCAAGCGGTTCTCTAATTAAGTGATTCATTTCCATTTCGCTTTCTCTTTGTATTTTCTTGGTCAATTTGAATTTATATCGGCAATCTGTCGGATTCTTGTACGATCGCAACGGTAGATACTTCGCGATCGATTCCACCAACGAAAATTCTACGAGTGCACAGAGTTTCGAGTTTCCAACCGGTATTTCGAAAGTTCTCTTCAGCGTTTACGTTTCAAGGGGGTCGACTCTCTTTTCAACAAGCATCGACAGGCGCAATCAGCGATTTCGAGCGGTCCCATCAATCTGCCAATCAATCCAATCTTCTGGCTCCTCGACGGGCAAAGCGATGGGTGTCTAACCCTTCGGAGCACGGTACCGGGAAAGTTTCATCTTTCAACGACATTGAATGGCCGCTGTTAACTTGTTAATTGCCGCGGTGAAGAGGAACGCGAGCAACGCTCGAACACCACTTGGCTATCAGCGGTAACAACAGACAGATCGAAAGGTTTCTCCTGTATCTCGGAAATAGACATCGAAATTCAGTGAAATGCTGAGTCGAAATTAGAAATCCCGAAATTCTCGAGTTCGCGACGATAGGATTTTTGTTACATTTTCAAAGGAAAGAAAACTGGCATCTGAAACAGCCGATCAAACGTATAAAACTTGTATCAAGTGATCCGAACGGTACTTAGCTATCGATGAGTTAGAAATCTAAATTCAATGGAATATTGACTCCAAATTAGAAATCCCAAGTTTCTGAAATCTGCTACGATAGAATTTTGTATTAATTTTTAAACAGAAACACCGAAAAGGCAGCTGAAATTCGAAACGTTCGTTCAAACTTGTAATTACTACGTGTAGAAATAAGTTTGTAGCAAATGGTACGAACGGTGCTCAGCAGTCGATGTGTCGGAAGTCTAAATTCAATGGAACATTGAAAGCAAAGTAGAAACTCAGAGATTGCTAATTGTCAGGTAACGAATTTTAAGATTCTGAAAAATTCCCGGCCGTTTTGTTGACTTTAAAGGGGAAATTCTGAAAAGACGACCAGAGCCCGAAAAGAATCATTGAATTGAAGAAATTGTAATTATTGCCCATAGAAATAAACTCGCCCTCGTACCGGATGGATATTTTATCGGGCGAAAGACGTTGCGCCGCTTAAAAGAGAGGTTAAAAAGGAGGAAGGCCGATTCATCGGGCAGAAAATGAAGCGCAAAATGCAATTAGCAGAGCTACCGGATAATTGAAACAGTGAACGGGAAATGGGCTCGCGGGGAAGGTAATACGGTTGAGCCCTACTTACGATTCTCCGACTGTGAAGAGGAAGGAGAAGAGAGAGAGAACGTCTTGAGAAGCAACAAAAAAAAAAGACGGCGGTCGTGCACCGAGCGAAGAAAACGTTTGACGACATCACGGGGTCTCTCCTCCGTAAACTGCTTAGCAGCGGATAGGCAGCCTCCGTCGACGGTGGTAACTTTCTTAATCCCCTTCTTAGAGGAGTTAATCCCCGCGATTAATGTCCTGCTAACCCATCGCTCCGACAGTTCCACAGATTCTCGACTGCCGAATCCTGCTAAGCACTTTTTTCCGTGTCATCTGACGCAAATATTCCGTGTGCCAATAGGACCAACGTCTATTTTGTACGATGGTTGGTACCTGAATGAGACAGGCAGCGTGAATGAACTGCTCGAATATTTAGCCCCGGGAGAACTAACTTCTTGAATCTTTCGGGTGGGGGTCTGTTTAGAACTGTTCGAGAAACTCTTTGGCTGTCCCATATCTGAACGATACGTCCGGAATGAACGCTATGTGGTTGACAGAGTCATGTGGGAAAACGTTTTAGAGCGTGGAGTAGAGAAAGTGGAATAACTAGTAAAAGTTGTGACGATAAAAAGTAAAATCAGAGAACTGAAGAGGACAGGGCTTCAACTTTGGGTCACCGATTTTAATAAAATATGTAGGACATGTAGTTCTTTCTCTGTACAAGCCACCCCTCATATGGGGTTAGACACTCGAAAGTTTAGTTATTTGCCATTGAAGTTTTTCAGATGATATAAATGTAGGTCATGTTGCCCGATTGTTCGTAGATGTAACGAATATGATCCAAAGATTTTTGGACATATTTAGGACGTATTTGAACTGTAGCCGTCACGGTAGAAACCATGAGCGTTGCCTCGACGTTAC